CTAGTAAAAAAGAAAGTGGATCAAACAAAGGTGCAGAGGCATAAAGTGTCCCTAGCTTGTTACCGTTATGTCTTCAAGTCAGTGGCTTTTAAACAGCACATGTATGGCCCCGATCACATGAGAGGTTTTGGGCCGGTAGAGGGACGGATCGGGGGCACAGCAAACGGGCGCGATCCCACCGCAACATCTGGGAAGCATTGTGCTTGCGTCCCCGATCCGCCCCTTCCACCCAAAACCCCGCTGCAAAAATGAACCACCTACTGTGGTGGTTCATCCCAGACGGCCGCATCAAAGCTGGCCGTGGGATCGCCAGCGCGTCCTTTCGCCGGCGCATCCCCAGCTCCAGCCCAAACTGCGCATTCTCAGGCATGCGCAGTTTGGCAGCCTCCCCCTCCCAATCGTCTCTTCCTCCCCGGCATCTGATCATGCCGGGGAGCAACGGCGCCGCGGCTCAGGGGATCGTGGGATTCCGCCGCGGCGTCCCTTTTTTGGTGCGGCTTTTAAAAGCTGCACTTTTGACGGTATTTTTCCTGCCATGTGGCAGGGACCTATCTTGGGTAAAATTCAATCTGATTGGTACCTTACCTCTATCAACACTTATTCATGTGGCTGCCTCCTGAAATCACGGCTCATATACCTCTACCACTCTTATTCTCATGACTCCAACTCTACCACACTAATCCCCATGTATACCTTTTTCTAGTTGTAATCACAGGTGTCTTCTTTCCTTTACTCCTCAATATGGGTGAAACAGGAAAGGTGACACCATTACATGATACACAGGACTTTGGAGAAAAGAAAACAATCCACTACAGGGTAACCTATGTGATACTAGACCCATCTCCTCATCTTCTCCCCTCTTTGCCTACATCAAACATAACTGGAAATTCACTTTCACTTCTTTCGCCTATATTCCTCAGCATTTCTCTATTTACTTGTCCAGTCCTGTCCCATTTTCTCTGTGGAGCTCAGTGTGGTGTTTGTGGTTCTCCTCTTTTCAGGTAGGTTTAACGGAGCAACTAGTGTGATTCATGGAAGACTGGAGATTTGTATTGGGTCTCCCCAGTATAGTGAGGCACTCCGACTTCTTTGCATACTGTCTTTTACTATACGGCAGTTATAAGGTAGTCTTCCACTGGCCATGAAACTTGCTAGGTGACTTCAGGCAGTCAATCTCTCTCAGCCTACCCTGCCTCACAAGGATGCTGTGAGGTTAAAGCAGAAGAACAGAAATCCACGTATGCCAGCCTGACCTCTTTTGGAGGACAGGCAAGGTAAAGTGCACTAAATAAATAATGTCCTAGATTAAAGAATATCCCTTAAAATAAGGTTTACCACACTGCAATTGTTGACTTCAGATTTAAAAGGGTGTAATTGGGCTAGATGGAGGACAGAAGGGCCTGGCGTGATGTGGTTCATGGGGTCGCAAAGAGTTGGACTCGACTGTGCGACTGAACAACAACAAAAGCTAGAGAACAATGGTTTTGGGAAACTGGCTGAAGGGGAGACTGTTGCTCTGTTTTGCAATATGTAACATGCACAGTTTCCTCTGAATAGTTCAAGACTGGTGGATTTATGGTCCTCTGCATCAAGTTTCTGTTCAAAAGAGATCAAATTTAAACTTTTACCAATTCATTTGTGATTTGTGTGATTTCTTATACACATTTACTAATGGACTATATTGACAGTAATGATGCTATTTACATGCAGGTTACTTTACTTGACTTTGATCCAACATTTTAGGTTAAAATCAAGGTCTGGAAAATCAGATTATTACATCCCAAGAGGAAGAAATGATAAGTTATGCATGACTGTGGATCTACTTGCCATGTTGCATTGGTGGTGTTTGAAGTTCTGCTAGATGCGAAGCCAATTTGTTAACAATTAGTACTCATTAGGGTAATTTCCTGGTATTGACTTTTTTGGGGGAAAAATCTACAAAGCACTTCAAGAAAGTAAAAAGCAGCAGTGCTTTATAAAATTAAAGATATTTTGTAAAACAATGTTTGGATTCACTAGACTGATTTTGCTGGCCTTAGAGTAAATTATTTTTTTAACCAATGTTTTAGGATGTTGCAGAACAAGAGCTAGCTATAGTTAATTCGTGAATGTGTCACATGACATCCTTTAGAAACAAAAGAAGTCCTGGAAAAGAACCATGGATTTGCCATGGGTTTTAATTTTAAGTAGGACACTGATCAACTGCATGCTGTAAAACATTATACAATGAACAGATTTAAATGTGAAGAATTGGCACTGCTTTTAATGTCTAAACTTAATTTTAAATGTGTCCTTGCTTTTATGCACATGGTGAGAACTATGGAACTATTAACATCTAATTGACAAATGGTAAAATTAGGCTTTAAGGCAGGCACTAACAAAAGCTTTTAAATATTTAAAAATAAAGAACCAATACATAATTACTTCCATTCATATTCACATTAAGGCTGTATTTCTGTCCCCAGTTATGCTAAAATCTACATCCCACTGTGCAAAACAAGCCACAGGCTTTCTAAAAATGGTACTTTGAATAAAGTTGCTTTCAGTGAAAATATCCAGGTTATTCATTCTTTCTTTTCTGTCCTGTCAATATAAAGCCTGATCCAAAGATCCTCACATGCACCAACAGGTTGTATGTGTGCCTCCTTCATATAAAGATGTCATCCAGAAAAACAGCTGTGATTGCACTGTCAGCTTTTAGAGGCAGGAGAGAGAGTGTTCTCACCTGGCTATGGACATAAACTTTCACTCCATCATAGGTGATTACAATTGACTCTCTTTCTGTGAAGATGGTGGAACCCAATAAATGAGTGATTATGAGCACTGGCCCTTCATCTGACCTTTACACGTTGACCAGGTCTTCTGAACAGAGCCTACATGTGTGTACTTTCTCCAATGTGATCTGTATCATGTAGGGGTAAAGATTGTATGGATGTATGCAGGGATGGATTTATGGGTGTTCATGTATATTCAGCTTGTGAGCACATGTTTTGAAAAGCCTGATCAATATGTGGAGTTTAGGAGCAGAGCCACTGAGCACAATTCTGCTTCTGCCTCCCTTATTCGATTTGCATGGCAGTATGTCATCTGCTCAGAACTATTGCCAACCACATTTGGAGTGATGCAAGTACGCTGTCTAGGATTTCCCCTCCCTATTGGGACTTACTGATGCATGCAGAAAAGCAAACCAAAGATGGAATAGTATTTCTACTTGTGCAATATCGTTACTTTAACAGGTATGAGTGTGGTTAGGATCAGGCTAGACTCCTAAATTGTAATCCTGTGTTGGGAACAGTCATGCTGGAATCAATGGAGTTGCATCCAAGTTAATGTACTGAGCATAAAGTTTCAACAAGTATAAAGGCTTTAATTTGTCCCATGTCATATTACATTGTGTAAAATATGGGGCTGAATGAAATATGTTCCTGTGTACAATTATATCTTCCCTTCTTGATAGGTCGGAACATGAGAAATTAGTGTTCCTACTGTCAGATAAAGATAAATTTATTACTTTCAAAGTGGCAAGATTTGCTGCTGCTATTTTGGAGGGAAAAAAGGAAAAGAAGAGCACTGAGTTATATCGATTCACTTTTATTTGACACTTTGAGTTACTATATTTTGTGATTGCCATTAGATAATTTTAACTTTCTTATAAGTCAATACTGATATTACTGTTTTAACCTTATTATGATATGTAGTTTTACTGATGTTATTCAATGTACTTTTTATTTGTTTGTGTTTTGTTGAGTGTTTTTTTTAATTGTTACTTTTAGCTGCTATGGCATTTTGTTGCTAATGCAATAAAGAATATTACCCCATACCATACAGTACTTGTAACTGCATATATCTTGTTAATGGTTTGAATCTGGAAATATTCAAGTGGAAATAGAAATGGACAGTGTGTTTCTGCTTGTGCAAGATCTTGTGCAATACCTACCAGTTTCCCCTCTATATTGTAGTGCTCAGAAATTGGTTGCACAAGATCTTTTGCAAGTGGGAATGCAACTGGAGATGTAATTCTGACTAAGAGCAAGTGGCTACTGTGTCGTCTTCTTGTGTTTCTGTCTCTGCCAAAGCTCTAGTGCAACTGAAAATTTGTGCTGTATCCAACCCAATATGTGCAGAGCATTACTTGAAATTTCATACACATGATGTCTTTTGACAGCTTTAGCTAGGGAGTGGGTTAAAATTTAGAAAATAGTAATAATAATACAGCCACATATTGCAAAGTGTTAGAATTGCCCTCCTAATTTTAGTATTTCAATGAATTTGGTGGTGCTATGCAAATCAAGAGCATAGTACAGCCATCTGGATTTGTTTACTTTTCTTCCTTGTTTGCTTCAGCTTTTAAGAAAAACAACCCAGTTTTACATTAACTTAAAAAAATTAAAGAGTATTAAAAGCAAGTGCTATCAACTGTAACTGACCAAAGTGGTGACCCAAGATATTTCCTAAAAAGTACTACTGATAAATTATCCTTAAGTTGAAAGAAAAGTGTATGAACTATCTCCATGCCCTCTGTCTTTTATAAACCAAGGTGTTAGTGACACGTATATTTTGTTTAACCACACTACATTTGCTTCTTAATTAGTGAATATTCATCTGTTATCAACAGCAGCTATGACACCCCTCCCCTGCTAACACGTTCTGTCATAAATAATCAATGAGGCTTTATTAATATTCATGAGTTGGAATCTGTGTAGTCATGTGCACTGATGCGGAGACAGGGGGAGTGTTGCTGCAAACTGAGATGAAACTCTGTGTATGTCTGTGTGTATATGTGAATGTAAGATACTTAGGGAAGAGGAAGAAGAGCATGCTGCTTTTACACACACTACCCTGGCTTGTGCTTCCAGCTAACAGTGGCGTGTCTGTGTTCCTGCACTGGAGTGACTGATGAAAAACAGTAGTCAAGTCTGGAGGGTGCTTCCCTGCCAGTGCATTTGCTTTTCAGTCCTTGGGAAATTAGGAGCGTTCTTTTTCCATTATTTCCTATTAGAATGGGTTGCAATTTGTGCAGTTTTCAGAAGAGGGAGGAACACTACAAACTGCTGTATGAAGTTTCTCAGGTGAGTGCAGAAGATATTCCTAGCAGTGCCAGGATAAGAATTCTGTGCTGTTTTGGAAAGCACTTACTGAAAAAAAGGGATGTTTATTTTTCCTGTGTATATGTGTGCATGCATGCTTTTGCATGTTTTTGGTTAGGTGTTATTTTTCAGGTTCGTCACGACTCCTACCCTAAATGACTTCCTGTGTGCTTCTTTTAAGATTTCTGTGCATCTTTGCCAAATTCTCAGTGAGTGACCTGCATTATCATTGAACCATGTCCACAATGTGTATAGAGAGTCTCTTTAGCTTTGGTAATTGGATCCTCTGTCAGTTACACTGATGCTTCTGCAGCTGTTAGGATTTAACAGGTCTTTGGTCTCAGGTATGTTCAACTTACTGAAAGAAGTTTTATAGCTCAGTAGCAGATGACAAGGCTTGGGGTCCTTTTTTGTTTTTAATTAACAGATGCTGCTCTATTTAGCAATAAATTATTGTCTTGAATACTGATTTAAGTTTTCTATTTTCCAGTGGGTGATGCTTTTACTGGGTGTCATTCTATCCTTTATACTATTTGCCTATATCACTAGGGAGAAGGAGACCTTCATTTACCATTTACTTATTTCTCTCTGTGTAACCCAGTAGCAGGAATGTTACTGTAAACTGCTAAAATGTGTGCCTGGCATGTAATTGTAATAAGACAGGGAAAGAAAGAGTGATGATTTAAAAAATGTTACTGTAATACCATGCAATTTTGCATAAGTCCCACTGACAGCATTTATTTTTTGTCTTTTGCTGAGGAAATCTGGCAGATGAAAGTTCAGTGCCTTCCAGCATCTGTTCGTTTCCTCTTTTGTAATTTATCCTTACTTTGACATGACACTGTTGACAGAGGCTGAACACTCCCCAATTTTTGACTACACTGTTGATGGTGGGCTGAGGACAAAACAGCTTAGAATGTTGGTGGTCTGTTGGGAGCAGTTGCCTACTGTTTCTACACTACACCCCTTCAAATTCTTCCTGACGTGATTCATTTCACAGTGGACTAATTACAAAGTGGATTGTCTACACATGAAACATCCTCCTCAGTTGCCGTGTTAATGCACATTTTCATGGTAATGTGATCAGAGCCTCATTAGCCTGTTTCCAAAATGATCCTCTGAATTAATTAAATATAAAAATCACTCTCTTTATCACCATGGGGGGGGGGAGATTAACATTGTCAGTTATGACTGGGACAATACCTCTGCTTCATAGGTTGCTATTTCTTTAAGATAGAAAAGTAGCTGTGACTAATTTCAACAATCCTAAAAATAATTTCCATCAGCAGATAACCTGTTCAGTTGCTTTTGGCTGTGGAAAATGGACTCTAGGTGGAACACTTTCCTTCAGTTTACAAGTAAAAAGCTTCCATTTCCAATACAGGGTCTAGTAAAGTCTCAGTTTATATCATGCCCCCCCTTCAGGCTAGGAATAACCAAAGATACCTAAAAACACAAAATGTAAATAGCTCAATAGATTGCAGTGAAGCAGATAAAAGAAGCCAAGGCTGTCCTCTGAAAACAGATGAAGCCTTTCTTTGGATTTTTCATAAGGCATATTTAACTGTATAGGCAGCTAGAGGGTATTTTAAGTACGTTTTGTGAATTGCTTGAAATGACATTAAATACTAAAGCTTTTTAAGTGTGCAAAAGCAGTTGCCTTTTGTTGAGAGGATTCCAGAGGTATTCATTCTTTTACTTGTTTGTTTCCTCCTCTGGACGGAGTTGCAGCTTTCATGATAAAGAAATGACAGAGGAGGGAAAATGAATTACCACTTTCTCTTTAACCCTGGTATTTACGTGATAAGGTATAATCCCTGGAAGAATCTGAGTGAGTTTTCCAGAAGAGCAATTGTGCAGTCAAACCTCCGGCTTTTGCATCCTGGTTTGTGTGGGGGAAATGTCACTGATAAAGGTATTTAAAGAGAGCAATGACGTGTCTTAGTATAGCTAGTCTTGTGGGGGTCTATGAGTTAGTTTCTGGTTTTGCTCTGGTATTCATACATCTTTGTAATCACATCAGCAAATTTTTGGCTGGTGTTCCTGGCTAGCAAGTGATGTCACAAAAGAATGCTCCATTTTGCCATACCAAAATAACAACAAACATGATTATCAGTAAGGTATCAGACTGAGATAGCAATTGAATCACTATAATCAAGAAAAACAATCCTGTTATCTCTACCTATTCTTTTCCATATCACTAGGCTTGTCTAGGGCATGCATGTTGGAACAGAAAGACATATGCAGATGGAATCCAAGTCAGTGAAGACAGGTGTATTATTTTGTGGCTCTTTGGACTAGAAGGTATTGTAGCTTTGTAGAAAATAAATTATGCAGAAGGCTTTGCTGTTGAGGACAAGCTTCTCAGTCAAATTACTGATCTCATCTACCAAGGTTTGAATTGTATATTTTATTTTAAAAGTTTTTGTGTGTGTTAAAAGGAAGATAGAGCTGTGAATATAGAGCTAAACTGGGTTTAAGATCCAATCCTGCCTTGGACTCAGGGAGTTGGATCCAACACAAACTTTCAACTTTTGCCCCAGCTCTTACACAAGTGGAAGCACAAGAAAAAATAGAGAGCCGGTGTGGTGGTATGGTTAGGACTAGGATCTGGAAAATCTAGGTTTGAATCCGCACTTGACCATGAAAGCTTGCTGGGAAACCTTGAGCCAGTTACACAGTTTCAGCGTAACCTACTTCCAACCTTGTTTGAGAATAAAATGGGGGAGAGGGGAATTAAGTGACTTTGGGTTCCCAGTGGGGAGAAAAGGGAGGGAGGAAATGACTTCATAGCCATTTGTAATGTCAAAATTATTGTATTTCCTACTTTTGTTTCTGCTTGTGCAAGAACATGTGCAACCAATTTCTGGGCAATATAATATATTGAGAGGACAGCACTACGTGTCTCACAGGGTCCTGTGCAAGTGGAACTACTCCTGTTTATATTTTTATTTGCACATCTCTGTATCAAAGGAACTATCTGCTCATGGGTAAGCATGTGTCTTCATCTATAAAATGGAAATAAAAGTGGTTTCCTTCAAAAAGTTGGCATGAGAGCAAACAGAATACACATTATCAAACAATTTGCAAATGGAAAGTGCCTTCGAAATGTCAGGAGGGTGAGGGTGCCTTTTTGGTTGTCCCTTACCATCCCCCTGCTTTTGTGGGCTTATGACTGGGGCCTGGCCAAGGGAGTGTCTGTGGGGCCATGGGGAGATGGTGGGAGTCCCAATTAGTGTACTGACATGCAGCAGGAGACTTGGTGTTGGGAGGCGGACAGGCCAGGTAAGGGGAACACCGCTTAAACAGTTTACAGCTGTGCCGTGTTTTGGTCTTACCCCCATCTGTGGGTTTGATGGTTGCCTTATCAACCAGCCCTCGGGTCTCCAGATGCAGTTATTAAATGCCAGATTGGTGCAGAATAAAACCTCCCTCATCCATGATTTAATTGGGGAGGAGGTAGCTGACCTGGCATGTATAGCTGAGACTTGGGTGGGTGAACAGGGAGGAATTAGTCTGTGCCCACCTGGGTACTTGGTTCAGCATCAGGGTAGATGTGAGGGCTGGGGATGGTGGGTTGCTGTGATCTATAGGAATTTCCCCCACCTCTCTCTGGCACCCTATCTGTCTGACGACTGATCTGGAGTGTGTACACCTTGTGTTGAGCAAACAGGACAGATTGGGGATTCTGGTGGTGTACCACCCACCTTGCAACCAAAAATTTCCTCTAAGCTACTCTAGATGGTGCTGGTGCACAAAATTTAGCAGGCCGTGCAGGGATTTTTTTTGGGGGGGGCTCAGCCCACAAGTGAAGGCATTATTTCCTTCATTAGAAATAATGGAGGATGGGGGCACCTCCTTTTGTGGCGCATAGAACTGGACCCCCGGTCCAATCTTTTTGAAACTTAGGGAGTTTGAGGAGAGGCACCAGCAGCTATGCTGCAAATTTTCTGGCTCTGCCTCGAAAAACAGCCCCCCTCTCCCGAGCCCCAGATACCCCCAGATCAATTCTCCATTATAACCTTTGGGGTCCATTGATTATAATGGCGTTCATAGACTACAATGGAGCTGGAAAAATGGGTTTTTTTCACACCCCTAGTATGCTTTTCAGTATGATTTGTAAACTGTCTTGAGTCACAGGGGAAAGTGGGATATAAATATTTGAATAAGTAGTTTGGGCAGGTTGACAACATTTAGGCAACTTCCTGTTTGTTAGGTTAGGCAGGGTTCTGACAGTGATTGTTCCACCTCTGTTATACTTGACCTGTAATGCTGGTTGTCGTATTTCACTAAAAATAAAGTAGACTGCAAGAGTTCTCTGCCCCCAAGTTTCAGCGCATGGTGACAGTCTGAGGTCAGGTCTACCAATATAGTGAACTTGGGTGAGTCGACCTGTTATCCAGAGGCCAGGTCTAACAATATAGTGGAAAGGAGTGGGTAGATCTGTTCTCTGGAGGACAGGTCTATCGATATAGTGAACTGGGGCAGGTAGACCTGTTCTCCAGAGGATAGGTCTACCAATGTAGTGGAAAGGGGTGGGTAGACCTCTGAAGGCCAGGTCTACCAGTATAGTGGAAAGGGGAAGGTGTACCTGTTCTCCAGAGGCCAGATCTACCAATACTGGGGAAGGAGTAGGTAGTCCTGTTCTCCAGAGGCCTGGTCTACCCCTGTGTAGGACAACATTTTCTGTAATGAAATTTGACTTGATTCTGTTTTCTCTTATAATGTTTAAACTTATTCTTAAACTACATTTTAAATATAGTTTAAAAGCATTCATTCTGAGATGTTACAAGGTTATAGAGATAATCTTCTAAAAAACTAATTTACACAATAGTCAAATGTAGACTTGTTCACAACTTTAATGTTAGTAGCTTTTTTGCTCAAAAGGTAGAATTTTTGCTCACAACACTGTGGAGCTTAGAGGGAGCATAGCTTGCAACCCATCAGTCTCCCTACCTGAGCTATGAAGGTGATCTCAGATG